GTAAGTGGCCTTTCACACCTTTTCCACACCACGTGTTGGTTCAGGAAGCTGTTCTTTTGAGCAACAAGCTTACAAAAATGTATATGAGCAAAAGGAATAACTTCAGCAATGTTTTTTGGGAAGTAACAGTGTCTCCCAGTTTAGGCCATATTTGGAAAAGTTTTGAACTTTTTTCCCTACTCTTTTTGGTTGTTTTGGGTCCCATCTTCTAGCTCTTTTTTTATTACAAACCTTAAAGCATACTTTGAGGCTCATATTAAAGAAATATCAGTGTTGGTTGAATGCTACAAAACACCTGTAAAGAAAGGTATAAAAGCAAATTGCATTTCCTGCATTGCTCTATTTCTTTGCAGAGCATGCTTTAATTATTACAGGGATGTTTGGCATAATTCTTTACAATATTTTTGAGGGGGCTGCTACAAGGGATTAAGGGACGAGTAATATCTCATATTTAGTAGAAGTTTCGTTGCTGTCCATGGTTTGTCTACTTTTGTTTTTTCCAATTTGGTTCTGTTGAATCTTGTGTATTAGAACCAAATACAGCCAGAAGCCCCTGTTTATTTATCATTTTTTCAATTTAGATGTAATTATGTGGTTAGGAATTGTGTTAAGAAAAGCAACCAGTTTGACCTCGTCATTTATGTGAGAAAAGAATATAAATGTTCAGCACAGCTTGAATTAAAAAAAATAGCTAGACATTTTCCTATTACGGTAAATAGGAAAAACACATGATAGGGAGAAATGTAAAGAAAAATGTAGGGAAGGGATGATAAATGATGAAAGTTACAAGAGATATGACCCTATCCAGGTTACCGAATATTTCTTCTTCTTTCTTCTTTTATAGGGTTTTAGACTTTGTGCAGTCTATATCCCCTGGATCCTTTTTCTTTTCTATGCTTTTTTTTATATGATCTTTTTAATCTGTTTTTCTTATGAAAATTTTGGAATGTCTGAAGGTGTAGTACTTTTCTGTTGGTGAGAGATCTACACCTGTTAATAATAAGTCTAAATTAGGGTTGTTTATTTTGAATTTTCTTAGAGCTTCGTTTAGGTTCGTTCTGCTGAAATGGAATTGAGGACATTGGAGTATTATGTGTTCTATATTTCTTCTTCATTATGACACCATCTGCAGAGTGGGTCATTTATTATTTTCATTCTATGTAGATGCTGGTTTAATCTTGTGTGTGTGGTTTTTATTCTTGTTATGCATACATCTAGTTTCGGTTTTCAGATCTTGTCCATGGTTGAGGTTCTGTGTTTTTCATAAGATAATTCTTTGCATTAAGGATGGTATTTAGTTGTCTTTTCCAGTTGTTTTGATTTTTTTTATTCTAATCTGTTTAATCTGTATTTTTATGTCTTCAGGTATGGTTATGAGATTTCTTATATTGTGTGCTTTTTCTGCTGCCTGATCAACAATTTCATTACCTTTTATGTTTGTGTGAAGGCATCCATTGCAAGACTATTATTTGTCTTTGTTTTACTAGTGTGTATATGATTTTTTGTATTTCAAATATAATATGTTTAGAAAATTTTTGGTCTCGGGTTGGATATTCGATGTAAAGCAGATTTGGAGTCAGATAATATTACCGATTTTGATAATTTGTTGTTTTGTATGTACTTTAAACCTTGTTATATTGCAGTATCATCTGGTGATTTCCATATGATTATATTTTAATCTTGAATGTATATTGCTTCTGAAGTGGAATTAATATTGTTTATTTTTGAGTCGTATGAAAATATTTTTTTATGATTTAGGTATTTTGTGTTTTCTATCATTGCATATTGTGATTTTATTATTTGTTCTTGGACATTTTTGCTTGATAATTCAAATTTTTTTTTTTTTTTTTTTTTTTTCAAAAATATTGAACCATGGTGGGATAGGAGTTATATTTGGCAATGCTTTTGTTTTTATATTTATTTGTAATTCTTTACAAGTTTCCAAGACTCTATATATTAAGCTTCTTTTGTCTTTTATGGGGGTTGTATTCTTTTATATATGTTATCAGTTTTTTATTTGCATATATATTTGTTTTTTTCTAGCATTTTTAACATTTGGGTAAATTCTTGTTCTTTTAATTTATTTTTGATGGGCATCTTATTAGTTAGGGTGTATAATGTCACAACTGGGGTGCATGGTAAGCAACCTGTGGCTATTCTTAAAGAATTATTTTGAATAATTTCTAGTTATTTTCATTTCTGTTATTTGTTGTACCATAGATTGATATGCCATATTCTATTTTTGGTTTAATTTAGATGTCATAGAATTTTATCATTGTTTCTCTATTTGCTCCCCATGTGGTAGTTGATAGTATTTTCTTTATACTTATTCTGTTTGGGTATTTACAAGTCACTGATGTGATTTTTCCTCATTAGCATCAAATTCAAGGCCTAGTATTTTGTGTTCGGTTGTAAACTTAAGTTCTTCATTGTTTATCTTTATTATTGCTATCTGTCTTATTTGTTTTTTTGTGAAATACATAATTTTACTTTTTGTTAGATTTATTGTTAATTCCCTATCGTTAGCCTATTCAATGATTTGAATTAATCCTATTTCTATGTGGCAGTCCTCTCTTTATTTTTCCTTCTTCAGACTTTTTGTTTCATATTGTTATTTGATAAGTTCTGTTATTTAAAAAGTTATATATCCATTTAAGTGGGGTGCCTGTTATTCCGAGTTTGCTGCTTTGTTTTATGATGGCTTCATGGTTATCTGTGTTGAATGCTTTCTCTAAATCTCTAAAAAAAAATTCTTTGTAGGCTTTGTTGATATGTAAATCTATTATGTGCAGAGTATTTATTGTTGAATAATATGGCCTGAATCCTGTCAAGTCTTGACTTAATTATTATTGCTTTCTAACCACCATATCGGTCTATTATTTATTACGCTTTCCAAATTTTTTTGTAAGCTTGAAATCCTGCTTATAAATCTATAGGATTTTTTATCAGTTGTGTTTTTTTCATGATTTTGATATAGGGTTAACTAATGATTTTTAAAATTCTGGGAGATATTCCCCTTATTAAACTGACGTAAAAAAAAAATCAAGTATATTATTTGGGGAATTTTTAAATAATTCATATGGGATTTTGTCTGGACCATATCCTTTATTATTTTTTGCATTCTTTATTGTTAAGGTTAATTCTTTTAAATGGAGTTCTTCATTTAAGGCGATTGTCTCCTTTTTTTTGCCGTTTTTCGTCCTTAGTGCTGAAATCGAGTTTTATGCATTTTCAAGGAGTTCCTCGTCCCCCTGGTTCTCCCCTGAAAATTTCATGGCCCAACCATTATTTTTTAGGTGGTAGCAGCCATTTTCGATGTTGACTGAAATATTATTTTTTTCACGTTAATTTAGAAAATTGGCAGTTGTGATGCAATAATTAGAGATAATGAAAAATAAATTTTTGAGTAGGAAAAAAATCCCTAGATCCAAACCATGGTCTGCATCAATGCCAAAGTGCAATAAGCATCTCAGTTAGGTTAAAACACACCTTTGGTTAAGATCTCATTAAAATATGTTCATAATTTTTAGAAATATCAGAAAAAACAAGCAAACATAAAACAGCAAACAATCAACAAACAAACAAAGAAACAAACAGAAGTAACAATATAGATAAACAAAAGGTCATGGGGTACACGAAAATGATCTATATGTGCATGTATACCTAATATACATACTTTTACCTCGCCCTGAAATTGTATTTCGTCTTTTCACGGAGTCTGAGTGTGAAAATTGGCCATGTGGCCCCGTAGAGTTAAACACCAACATTCAGATGCAAAGACACGTCTGTCATCATCCGGCAATGCCCGGCCGTGCTGAGAAAAGGATGTGTATGATACCTGTCCGACTAGAGAAAGGTTATTTTATCGACCAATCTTATACGTTGTAAAACCCCATTAGAGCAACAATAATAGGTAAATAATAGATAATTATGTCATATACAAGTATTCCGTACGTGATTTATCATGTAAAATGTATAAATAACGAAAAGGAAAAAGATAGCGATTATTAGGTACGCATAATACACATATTTTCAGTCCAATTTTAACGTATTATGGATCATTTTGTAGCTGAATAATAGATCTATTACATGATGCAATAAGGATTTGTAATTTTTTCATGTGCTTCTTTTGAAAGTGACATATATTTTCAGTATCCCTTTTTAGGGTGTCGAGATAGTGGGGTTCGGAAAATATTCACCAAAAAAAAAAAGTAAGGTTGACTTCAAAAAATGGCTTCACATATAGTAAAAGGATAGTTCTATTCAGATATGAAATCAAATTGGCTGTATGATTTTTTTTTTTTTTTTTTTTTTTTTTTTTGATAAATTTTTAAAAATGGTCAATGTAGGCCTATAGACCCTCCAGATCACTGCCACCACTCTACACTATACGTAAGGTTTTGAGAAACTGTTACGTGATGGCAATGTCTGAAAGTCTCCGGAATGCAGGTACATGATAGAAAATTATGGTATAGGAAGATTATGCTCCTCCCTTTCATTTTTCATACCAAAAAAATTATGAAAAGAGAAAAAAAAACTTCTATGACTGTTATCTTGGAAGTAAATTTATTTACGCAGAAATGCCATTCAAATAAAAAAGTATACTACAGAGATCAGGCTGGGGTCTAAATAAAAGGGTGTGAGTTTCATAAAAATCGGCAAGAAAAATCGAAAAATCGAAAAAAAAAAAGAGACAACCCCCTTAAACTTTCTGTACTTGGTTGATCGGTCATGTTTTTAAATTTTGTTTTTGTTAACAGGCTTTTTGTTTTTATGTTTATTATACTTTGAAATTCTTCTTTTAGTATTAGTTTGAGCCGGTAGGTCATTATGAACTATTGGATAATTGTTAATTTTATTACCTTCTAGTTCTTTAATAAAATTGCAGATTTTTCTTGTTGGTGTATTGAAATCTAGGGATTGTGACAGAAATCTGACCAACTATTTCTTTTTTCAGTCTCTATTGTATTTTTTATATTCAAATTTGTTTCTTTCATTTC